CTCATATATATCTTCGATTTCGGATTAATTGTGTGCCAAACGGCTTACATCAGTCCAACTTAAATTAATTTTGGCACATCCGACCGCATTTAGTTTAAAAGCAATTACATCAAATTTGGTGAAAATCGGTTCAAATACAGGGTGAGATGAAAAAACTGCAACCAACTTCAGACTGCTGTAATTTTTAAGCCACTCGTCCGACAGCTGTTAAAATTATTCCAGTGAAAGCTCATTATATTGTTTACAAGCGTACAAAAGCATTACGGTGAGAATTTTCCAGAAAAAAATTATTCGTGATGACGCGTGCTAGTGTGATTTCTTTATATTTGGCTGGAAAACCACAAGTGGCTATCGTTAGAGCACTCCAGCATTTAAATGTGAAAAAATCTTTTGTGTCTTGTACCATCGCTCGATAACGTGATGCTGGTAGCATAAAGGAAGTGGACGGGAGAAAACAGCAACATCAGCAGAAATGGTTCGAAATGTAAAGAAGCGACTTGATCGAAACCCGCGTCGCAGTGGCCGAAAAATGGCTCGTGAGCTGAACATATCGCAATATTCCATTCCGCAAACATTGAAAAATGAGCGGCAGCACATGAGTGGTGAACTGCCGGCCATGATTATGGTGTGGGCCGCCATTAAAGCCGATGGTCGCGCTCCGCTCGTATTAATCGACCGTGGCATCAGAATAAATGCCGAATATTATCGCGAAAATATTCTGGAGGGTGTATTAAAGTCTTGGACACATAAGCATTTCGGCCGCAGACCTTTTGGACATTTTAATAGGACTTAGCACCATCGCACTGTGCATGCGCGACCCAAGAATGGTTACCAAATGAGGTTCCTCGCTTTATTTCCAGTGCACAATGGCCACCAAACTCTTCGGAACCAATCGGTTGGACAATTGTGTCTGGAGTATTTTGTAAAGCAAGGTTGGCACTAAAATATATCAAAGTGTCGATCACCTCAAGCAAGCGCTTCGCCGGGAATGGGCCGAAATACCGCAGACCAACATTCGGGCAGAGTGTGACGGTTTCATTGGCCGTTTGAAGGCCATAATTCGTGCCAAAGGTGACCGATTCGAACAAATCTGAACTTATTCTAAAATTTCACGCAATTTCCCACATTTTTGCTTTCATTCAATAAAATTTAAAAAAAAAAGTAAAAAATATGGCGTTTGACTTTGTTGCAGTTGTTTTATCTCACCCTGTACACACACATACACAAAAAGAAAAAAATTATATTTAGGGGCTAGCTTTGTTCTACCTTCTGTAATTGTACCATGCCTACCGATAAGCCACATTTTTTAACAGAATTACTTAAAGTTGAAGAATTTTGACATATTTTTATACCCTCCACCTTGAAAAGGAGGGTATTTTAACTTTGTCATTCCGTTTGCAAGACCTCGAAATATTCGTCGGTGACCCTATGAAAAAGGCTGTCTGCTTCTGCTCGCCTATGAAAAAGGCTGCCTGCTTCAGCTCGCCTATGAAAAAGACTTCCTGCTTCAGCTCGCCTCTGAAAAAGGCTCCCTGTATCAGCTCGCCTATGAAAAAGGCACTCTGCTTCAGCTCGCCTATGAAAAAGGCTCCCTGCTTCAGCTCGCTTATGAAAAAAGCTCCCTGCTTCAGCTCGCCTATGAAAAAGGCTCCCTGCTTCAGCTCGCTTCAGCTGGCCTATGAAAAAGGCTCCCTGTTTCAGTTCGCCTATAAAAAGGGTTCCCTGTGTCAGATTGGATTTAAATAAAGACATGTCATCTTAAAATCCGTTTCATACTTTTGTTGGGTCTAATAACGTTTTTTTTGGTCAGAGTGTCAAAATTAAAGATGATTCTCCTAAAAAAATCGACCGGGACGCACTTGGGTTGAATGAACTTATAATTTTATTTATGTTCACTATGACAGTAGCTGCTCAGCTCCAGAGCCTGCAAGAATGTAAAAATGTTACTACGATAACCGACTTTTCTTTTATGAAATCGAAAATAATGAGAACAATCATTACCCTACATTTTAATGTTGTTATATCAGGATGATATGATCTTATTTTCGGAAACGTTATTTTTTGTGTTTTTATTCAAATCATAATTTATAAACTCTGACTTTCCATTCCTGGATATAATAATAAAAACAAGTAAAAAAGCTGTAATTTCGGCCGGGCCGAAATTTGAATACCCTCCACCATTTGGTACAAATGTAACAATTTTCAAAAAAATAAAATCCGTTAAAAATTCTGTTAAAATCTTAAAAATACCGAATGTAGCCGTATATTAGGGTCTATACGACGACGTGGACCTGCATAGGCAACTTTTGTCACAAGCTATTACAATATTCAAATGCGAAACTTGAAAAAAATCTGTTTATAATGTAGCTAAAATCATCAAAATACCGAATATAGGGAGGTACCATGGGGGTTATAAAACGTGGACCTGCACAGACAATTTTCTGTCATAGGCTGTAGTATCCAGTACGAACTTCAAATACCAAATTTGATATAATTTCGGTAAATAATGTCGCTAAAATCATCAAAATACCTAACATCGGGGGTTCCGTTATATGGGGGCTATACGAAGACGTGGACCTGCACAGACAATTTTCTCTCATAGGCTGTAGTATCCATTACGAACTTCAGACGTGAAATTTGAAACAATCTCGGTAAATAATGTCGCTAAAATCATCAAAATACCGAACATCGGGGGTTCCGTTATATGGGGGCTATACGAAGACGAGGACCTGCACAGACAATTTTTTGTCATAGGCTGTAGCATCCATTACGAACTTCAAATACAAAATTTTAAATAATTTCGGTAAATAATGTCGCTAAAATCATCAAAATACCGAATATCAGGGGGTACCGTTATATAGGGGCTATACAAAGACGTGGACCTACATGGCCCATTTTCTGATTTATGCTGTAGTATCTATTACGAACTTCAAATACCAAATTTGAAACAAATCTTGTAAATAATGTCGCCAAAATCATCAAAATACCGAATATAGGGAGGTACCGTTATGTGGGGGCTATACGAAGACATGGATCTACATGGCCCATTTTCAATACCAAAAGTCCTACAGACATAATACACATTTGAGTAAAATTTTATTAACCTACATCATTTCGTTCAGAAGCTAGAGTGATTTCCACAGACGGATAGACGGAGGTGTTACAAACGGAATGACAATCTTAATATACCCTCCATACTATGGTGGAGGGTAAAAATTGAGAGTCTATAAAATGCAGAGAAAGGAGAGCATCATTAAAACAAATGTAAACAAAACCAGTAAGGAAAAATGGGGCGGGGCCGGCTATATGATACCCTACATCACTATGTATGTTTAGTAGAGCTCCCGAAAAAAAATATTTCAAGTAGACCTATCAACATTTGGCTTTGGAGCAGTTATAGTTTGCTGTAGAGTGCATGATATCACTTAGAGAAGGATTATATTGAAAAAATATGTATCGGAGCCGAGTTGCACACAATGGAAACGTACGTCCTGAAACTTACACCATTTGGACTGATAGTAGCCATTATTTGCACAATAAACCTGAAATCGGTTGAAGATATACATGGAACCTATATCCAAATCTGAACCGATCTTGATAAAATTTGGCAGAAGTATTTCCGAGCTCTATAAGATATCTGGTACCAAATATCATTCTTGTAAAGTGCATTTTACGAATTTGAGGGACCTAAACACCAAATCGGATGAAAAATATATTTGAGAGCTATAGCTTTATCCAAAACGATTTCCTCCGAATTCCATGTACACCTAAGTCTGTTTTTACACGGTCTTTTTGTACACGGTTTTGATATAACACGGTTTGAAAATTGAATATTTTTAATTTATTTACACGATTTTATTCCATTTAGCACGATTTGAAATTTTATGTACTTAAATTTTTTGTCAAATTTAATTTTTGCGAAGTATGTTCATATCACAAAAAAGTATTTATGAAAGAAAAAAGTCTGAAACCATCGATAGTATCGATAATTTGCGAACACTAGCTTAAATAATTAAGTGAATTCCCCTTTAGCGCGTACAAACAATTTTTACTGGTCAAAGCAAATGTGAATAGCACTATGTGCATACAATACAATTTACTGGTCAGAGCAATTGAAACGTGTTAATATTTTGTGAACTGTTAATGCAATAAGACGTTTTTGGTAAAGAAAAAAATAAAAATTCTTGTTTTTCACTAATTTTAATAGGTTTTAGAGATTAGGAACAAATCACCCATTTTTGTATAAGATCAATGTCTTTTTTACACGGTTTTTTTTTACACGGCTTCTTCTGGAACCAATCTACCGTGTAAAAACAGACTTAGGTGTACTTGTTTCTAGACTAAAATCGGTCGGATGTGTCAAAATTCAGTTAATTTGGGTTGATATTAGCCATTTGGCGTACAATTAACCCGAACGAAAATATATATGGGACCTACATCTAATTTGAGCCGATTCTCAGCACATTCAATAGGGTTCGTCTTTGGACCAATCAAATATTGTTCGGAATATTTCATCTCAATCGGATAATAAATACGGCCTACATTTTGTTCACAAACACGCATGGGCAGACGGATTGACATGCATAAATCAGAAAGTGATTCTACGAAGATCCTCAAAAGTAATTATGGGTCTATCTCGTTTCCTTCTCCACCCTTAACACTATGAGGTGTAGGGTATTAAAATTCAGACTTTCCTTCCCTGAACATAATGATTGTAAACTAAATTGAGAATTTATAAAATGTAGAGAAACGAGAGCATCATTAAAACAAATGTAAACAAAACAAGAGACGACTTTTGAATATCATTTAACGGCTCCACTCCAGAGCAAAGGTGAGAGCCCTCTGCTGTAGTGTGTGGTCTCTCGCGGTTGCAATGGATCAATGATAATGACGCCAACGAAGCCGGCGTCGACGTAAACCATAACCATTGAACTACACCACCGACGTCATGTTGCCACAAAATGTGGCCGCCGCTGCTGCTCATTTAGTTGTAAAAAAGCTAAGCTACGGTTCAGATCGTATGTGGTGTAACGGCGGATCGGTTGGTTTCAAACAATAAAATATGGGCGCATGACTATGCAGTGAAATACTAGTACTAGTGATAAAATAGTCAAGCACTTGGTGATCGTTTTCAGATAAATTAAGGCATTGTTTGGCTGTTTGTTTGATTACAAAAGAATAAGAAATATAACAACAACAACAACAAAAACGTTCTCAAATATGGATAATGAGAATGGCCTATGAATAAGAAAACAAAAACGAAATAGCGTGTGAATATTAAAAAAGAACTTTTGAATTATTACAAATCTAATCGAAAAACGGAACTACCATCATATTTCGAGGAAATCTGGGGAAAAATGTGATTTGTTTGGAAAATGAATTAAAATATTCAAAGTCCGATTTGAATTTAAAATTTTAACAATTTTTGGTCCACAATCCATACATCTTCTATCCACACCAAAGCCATTCGACCTGTCCATTGTAGTCCAATTCAGTGCATTTTGGATTATTAGCTTGTGTTTATGCTCCACATCTTCCGGCACAATGGGTCGCTTTTGCAATCATAAACTTTTGCTCAATTGCTGTAATTTTTTATTTTTAGTAAGTATTAATACCCGAATCCCCATACGTCATTACGAAGACCTAATTACATATATACGGAATCTATTTAGTAGCTATTTAAAATGTTGTAATTTATTTTTTTTTTTTCATAATAGCAATTATGGGGAAACTATTCTATGTGGGTGAAGTACACACAAGGTTCTTCCATTTCCAACTGACTAGCTGATAAACCACAAAGTTTATTTTGAATTTGATTTACTCAAAACAATCCCCGTTTCTTCGTAGGCTGTGGTTTTGGCCAGACCGTTATAGTTCCCAGTTTACCAAGGGCTTCTTCGTTCTCTTCGCACGCAGTTTGTTCGAGTGATAATGATTTTCGAATTAATTAACATTGACTCATTGAATGGTGACTCTTTCTTTGCAATTGAATTGTCATTTATGGTAGCGCGTTCCAACAAAAAATGTATGTTTGTAGAACCGAATCGTACGGTCTGTCTTCCGTATATGGTCTAATACGCAATTGAAAAACAACATTGACATTGTGTCCAAAGCATTATGTTTGCTAGTATGTCATGTTGAAGCTTCGGTTGAGTCTTTTGACCCCCTCCCCCCACGCCAACACACACACGTCAAGTGTAAGTGGCGTAAAATTCGGCCAAGTGGAAAGTTAATCGTTTCTTATATCCTCTGCTAACAGGGTGAACCGAAATAATAATAACATTATCTATATTAATAAAAGAGTGAAGTAATTGATTGACTGACGGCTGAAGCTGGAATCTTGAAATTTTGGTTGAGAGTCGCTCTTGGGTCTGATAAGGCTGGGTTTTTGGAAATTCGTACTGGAACGGCACGAAAAGTTTTAAAAGGTACTAAATGTGGTACCCGTTGTATTTGAGAAAAAAGTAGAGCTATAACTCTTCAATTTAGAAAGAGGGTCACTGATGTAGTCTATGATAGATGTGCCAGAGGGTTTTTAGAAATTCGCACTATAAGTGAACGAAAAGTACAAAAATGTACCACATTTGGTATCATGTGAACGGTTAGAGCTAAAAGCTTAAAACTTGGAATGGTAATCAAGGTTGAGTTAATCATTTCTTATATCCTCTGATAATAGGATGAACCGAAACATTAAAAATCTTGAAATTTTGGTTGAGGGTCACTCTTGGCCGGAAGGGTCAGATACGGCTGCAATTTTGGAAATTTGTTCTTGAACGGTACGAAAAGTATTAAAAGGTACTAAATATGGTTACCGTTGTATTTGAGAAAGCAGTAGAGCTAGAACTCTTTAATTTGGAATGAGGGTCTCTAATGGAGTGTATGTTTGATGTACCCAAGTGTTTTTAGATATTCGCACTATAAGTGTACAAAAATGTACTTCATTTAGTGTCATTTCTCATCATGTGAACGGTTAGACCTAAAAACTTGAAATTTGGAACGGTAATCAAGGTTGAGAAGCAGAGTCGATGTAAAGAGGTACTCATGTATACGAAAAGTTCTAAACGGTACCAAATTTAGTACAATTTGAATTTTAAAGAACGGATGGAATCCTGATGTTTGAAATTAACAATACTGGCGGAGTGTAGGATTGGGATATGGAGGAAATTTTCAAAATGTATACTTATGTACACGAAAAGTACTAAATGCTACTAAAATTTATTGAAATTTCGATTTGGGAGGAGCAGGTACGCTGTAATTTGATATTATGATTACTATTGGGGTAGTGAATTGAGTATGTGTACTCAATGGTACTAAAATTGGTACAACTTGTACTTGGACGAACCGATACGGGCGGAATCCTAAAATTTGAATTTGATATTACTGTGGGAATGCAGTAATCTTTGGACTAAATTTGATACAATTTGGATTTGTGTTAACCGATAGAGCTGGAATCCTGAAAAGTAATTGATTGACTGACGGCTGAATTAAGATTACTGTCGGAGTATTGAATTGGGTTATGTAGGAACTTTTCGAAATTCGTACTTATGTGTACTAAATGGTACGATAATTTGTACAATTTGGATTTGGGCGAACCGATTGGAAATTCGTACTTATATGCACTAAATGGTACTATATTCGTTACAATTTGGCATTGGGTAAATTGTACGAAAAGTACTGAATGGTACTAAATTTTGTATTGGGTGAAGGGAAAGAGATAAATTTCAGAAGTTTGATATTTAGACTACTGGTGGTATTTGTGTTTGAGATTTGGCGGTGGCTTGGATATTCGTCCTAAATTTGTATGAAAAATACTGAATTGTACTAAATTTGGTATTCGGTGAAGGGATAGTGCTGAAATGCCGAAATTTGATATTCAGGCCTCTGTTGGTTTACATATGGGGACTTTGAAATAATTTTGATCAGAAAAATTAGATGGATTATGCAATGGTTTTACCAATATCCTGCTCGGTAAACTTCAAAATTAAGGATTTTGAAGACTTTTTATTGTAAAACTTAAACATTTTCCTATTATTCTTTCCGATCTGATCTGTGATCTGTTAGAAAATGTGAATTAAATCGTTAAAATACTGAATATCCAAAGTTATATCGGTGCTATAGTAAAAAGTGGGCATATACAGACAATATTCTACCGTCAAACTCGTTATACCAAGTTTGGTACAATTCCGTGGACAAAATGTGGCTAAAATACCGAATATCGGGAGATACGTCCCCACAAATGGTGAACATTTTCATAGAAAATAATTTACATCATAGAAAGAAAGGGGATCGTTCGATTTTGTGCAAACTTTGCAAATTGCAATATTTTAGTCAGTTCTAGATCGGGTGCGAAAAAGAATAATATCGGCCCACGTCATCAAGTTCCTTCCTCACAAAGGGTAGAAATTTGGAATAATTATAACATCCAATTATCTTAAACTTTTACACTTCCCAATATTTCTAAAAAAACAAGATCTGGTGCGAAGATGGAATATATAGGACCGCTGCTTCTGGTACCTTCCCCACAACGGGCCAACATGTTAAATAACCCAAGCTCTCATAAAATTCAAAATAAGCATCCGATTCATTCTAAAATTTACACATCTACAAAAACAAGATCCGATATGAAGATGGAATATTTAGGTTCACTCTTTCTGGTACCTTCCCTACAAAGGATCAACATTTTTATACCCTACACCGCATAGTGGTAAGAGTATTATGTCTTTGTGCATTTATTTGTAACATGGAGAAGGAAGCGAGATAGACCCACAGTTACTTTTGAGGATCTTCATAGAATCACTTTCTGACTCGTTTATGCATGTCAGTCCGTCTGTCCTTCAGTCCATGTATTTTTGTGAACAAAATTTAGGTCACATTTTTTACCCGATTGAGCTGAAATTTTCCAAACAATATTTTTTTGATCCAAGGTCGAACCCTATTGAAATTGGTGATAATCGGATCAGATTTAGATAGAGCTCCCATATATACCTTCAAGCGATTTCGGGTTAATTGTCCACCAAATGGCCAATATCAGTCCAAAAGTCCAGAATTTTGGTACATGCCACCGAATTAAGTCTAGAAGCAAGAACATTTAATTTGGTGAAAATCGGTTCAGATATAGCTATAGCTCCCATATATATGTTTCATCCGATTTGGTGTTTAAGTCCCTGACATTCGTAATTTGCATTCGACAACAATGATATTTGGTACCAGAAATCTTATAGAGCTCGGAAATACCTTTGTAAAATTTTATCGAGATCGGGTAAGATTTGGATATAGCTCCCATATATATCCTTAATCCGATTTCAGGTTTATTGTGCAAATAATGGTTAATATCAGCCAAAATGGAGTTAACTTCGGGACGAAATTTCCATTTTGTGGAACTCGGCTCCGATATACTTTTTTTAATATAATCCTTCTCGAAGTGATATCATGCATTCTATAGCAATGTTATTTGGTAAACAAGATAAACATATCTCCGTCAAATCTAGTGACAATTAATTCAGAATTAGATATGCCTCCCATATATTAGTTCGCTCTGAAACCAAACAATAACTGCTCTAAAGCCAAATGTTGATAGGTGGTATAGTCGGCCCCGCCCGACTTTTGACTTTTCCTTACTGGGCGCCGAGCGCCTAAAAGTATGCTATAAAACTATAAATTAATTTACTATTTGACATAAGCCTGAAACATAATGCGTTAACTAGCCTTTGGGAGCATTTACCCCATTTAGTATTTATTGGCATTTAAATCTTTACCACCTGTAGCAGGTATTGAAAAAAAAACAATTTTTTTGATTCAAACTACATTTGAGTATCTTGTTACTCGTTGGAGATATTGTAGATTCATAGCATAATTTAAAAAAAACTTGATGAAACGTATTTATACCGCCCAAAAATTTCCATCAGCAATTTTCCTCACTCACACACACACACATATGGGTGTATATAAACATACAAATTTGCATGCATTACATGCTCAAGGCGTTAAATCTATTTTGAAAAACCATTTGTTAAAAATCTTCAAAAATAATGACGACTTAATGATTCACGAAAGCCAGACTCTCGGGCGGGCATGCGAACAGTTTGGATATTGTGTGGATGTGGGTACATATGTGTGTAACTTTTGTTTATTTTTCTATAGAAAGTGAAACGATTATTCATTTTAGATAGACATACTTATGAATATCTCCCCCTCCATATAATGGTTACGAATATTATAACTATAAACAATAACAAAAAAAAAACGTATAAAACTACAACAAAAAATCGTGTTATCCATCAGTCAAAAACAAAAAAACAACAAAAACTTCTAAATTACAGGCGATCGTTTGCTCTTTGTGGCTTTACATTGAGGACTGAGGATGATGGTGGTTGGGTGTTGTTGTTATTGTTCGTTGATTCATAATTTGGAATTTAACAAAACAGAAAAAGTGAAGAAGACAACACAACAAAAAAAAAAAAAATGAAAACAATCATCGAAGCATAACTAAATTAATTTGGTATTGCATCAGGATGGTTGTTGTTGTTATTTTCCCGTTATTTTCAATATTATTAGCGAACATTTTAAAAAATATTGAACTTTTAACGACCAATTTTGATACTCTTCAACAAAGTGGACATGTTTGGGAAATATCGATATTATGTTAGGTTGAACCGACTTTTTCACACACACCACCGTCATTGTTGGATTTTGAATAGTTACCAGTTGGATAAATTTTGCACTAGTTCACGCTAATATGGAACTCACCTAAAAATATGCAATATAAATGTTAAAGATAAAGATAAAACTGTAAGGAAAGTCTAAAGTAGGGTTGGCCGACTATATGATACCCTAAACCACTTTGCATATTTAGCAGAGCTCCCGTAACAAAAGAATTTATCTGAAGTAGATCATACCACATATCAACATTTGGCTTGAGAACAGTTATAATTTGGTTTCAGATGGAACTAATATATAGAAAGCATATAAAATTCTGAATCGATTTTCAATAAAATTTGACGGAGACATTTTGTATCGGAGGCGAGTTCCAAAAAATGGAAACATACTTCCCGAAATTCACACTATTTGGCCTGATATTAGCCAAATTATGGCACTATAAACTTGAAATCGGATTAAAGATATATGGGAACTTTATCCAAATCTTAGCCGTTCTCGATAAAATTGGGTTTGGTTGAGCTCTATAAGATATATACCAAATCGGATGAAACATATATATGAGAGGTATGGCTATATATCTGAAAATTTGAATCTCTTGTTTCTGGGATGAATTCAGTCAAAATTGCTAAGATTCAATTTATTTGGACTTATATTGGCTATTTGGTCCACAATTAACCCGAAATCGGTTGAAGATATACAGGGTGAGATAAAAAAACTGCAACAAAGTCAAATGGCATAATTTTTACATTTTTTTTAATTTTATTGAATGAAAGCAAAAAATGTCGGAAATAGCATCAAATTTTAGAATAAGTATAGATTTGTTCGAATTGATCACCTTCGGCGCGAATTATGGCCTTCAAACGGCCAATGAAACCACGTCACATGCTGCCCGAATGTTGCTCTGTGGTATTTTGGCCCATTCCCGGCAAAGCGCTTGCTTGAGGTGATCGACACTTTGTTATTTTTAGTGCCAACCTTGCTTTCCAAAATACTCTAAACACAATAGTCCAACGGATTGGTATCCGGAGATTTTGGTGGCCATTGTCCACTGGATATGAAGCGAGGAACCTCATTTTGTAACCATCCTTGGGTGGCGCGTGCTGAGTGCAATGGTGGTGAGTGTAATGGTGCTGAGTCCTGTTGGAATGTCCAAGGTCTGCGACCAAAATGTTTGCGTGCCCAAGGCTTTAATACCCCCTCCAGAATATTTTCGCGATAATATTCGGCATTTATTCTGATGCCATGGTCGATTAATACGAGCGGAGAGCGACCATCGGCTGTTATGGCGGCCCACACCATCACCATGTCCGGCGCTTGAATTCTGCAGCCAACCGAAGGTACAAATTTTCAGCTGACCTCTTTGGCAAGTAAACACTATCATTTTGTTTGTTTACAAACTGCTGGGCAACGAATATTTTCTCAGCGGAGACAGCCAAATTCGGCAGTTCACCACTTTCGGCCAAGCGAAGCAACTCTTTAGCTCTTTTGAGTCTATTTTCTTTCTGTTGCGGTGTAAGTTCTTGCACTTTTTGGAATTTCAATGGCTTTACCCTGAGCTCATTTTTCAATATTTGTCGAATGGAATATTGCGATATGTTCAGCTCACGAGCCATTTTTCGGCCACTACGACGCGGGTTTCGATCTTTACTTTTCGAACCATTTCTGCTGATGTTTCTGTTTTATTCCGCCCACTTACTTGACATCGGGCTACGCTACCAGTATCACGGTAACGGGCAATGGTACGAGACACAAAAGATTTATTCACATTTAAATGCTGGAGTGCTCTAACGATAGCCACTTGTGGTTTTCCAGCCAAATATAAAGAAATCACACTATCACGCTTGAATTCCATCACGAATAACTTTTTTTCTGAAAAATTCCTTACCAAAATGCTTTTTTACGCTTGTAAACAATATATTGAGCTGTCAGTGGAATAATTTTAACAGCTGCCGGACGAGTGGCTTAGAAATGGCAGCAGTCTGAAGTTGGTTGCAGTTTTTTCATATCACCCTGTATATGGGAGCTATTGCTATATCTGAACGGATTTACACCAAATTTGAAGTACTGGTTTTTAGGATTAATTCAGTTGTAATGTCCAAGATTCAGTTTATTTGGGCTGATATTAGCCATTATTTGCACATTAAACCTGGAATCGGATTAAGGATATATATGGGAGCTGTATCCAAATCTTACCCGATCTCGATAACATTTAGCAAAGGTATTTCCGAGCTCTATAAGATATCTGGTACCAAATATCATTCTTGTGGAGTGCATATTACGAATGTGAGGACTTAAACACCAAATCGGATGAAACATATGCATGGGAGCTGTAGCTATATCAGAACCGATTTTTATCAAATTTGACAAATCAAATTTGTTTCTAGGATGAATTCGGTCGGATGTGCCAAAATTCAGGTCGTTTGGGCTTATATTTGCCATTTGGTGCACAATTAACCCGAAATCGGTTGAAGATATATCTGGGAGCTATATCTAAATATGATCCGATTCTCACAAATTTCAATAGGATTCGTCCTTGCGCCAAAAAAATATTGTTTGGAAAATTTCATCTCAATCGGATAATAAATGCGACCTGTATTTTGTTCACAAGAATACGTGGACAGACGGACTGGCATGCATAAATCGACTCAAAAAGTGATTCTATGAAGATCATCAAAAGTAACTATTGGTCTACCTCGCTTCCTATTCCATGTTACAACCAAATGCACAAAGACATGAAGGGTATAAAAAAGTGGGAGAAGGAGAACTTGCCACCTATATTAAGGTCACTTTGGAATACAAATATTTGAAATATTTCGGGAAGGCATCTGTCGAGGAATGAAAAAATAGCATTCTGTTGTCTCTTTGTTTAAGTAAATAAAAGTAAAATTACTTTGTGACGCCTGAAAGTATGCTTCAAATTATACCAATTAAGAAACAAACCACTTTCATTTCAATCAATAGAATAACGTCTGAACAATTGCAATAAATTTTAATTATTTCCCTTTTCATTACAGATATGTGGCACAATCCTTATCGTTTCGGGTTTCTATCTATTTACGGATACAAAAAGAATACTCCTTTCCCGGCTGTTGGCTGCTACAAGTGAACGACTCAATGACTTGCCTGAGCCCCTCTTCTATTACATATCTGTGGGACTGGCAATGGCCGGCCTAATTGCAGTGCTTGCAGCAATGATGGGTTTCTGGGCATCCTGTTTGAATACCTATTGCTGTCTGAGTTTTTACTTCCTGACCGTTGTGGTACTACTTTTAGCCGAATCCGTTGTGTGCTTGGCCATAACATTATGGCCTCACTGTCTGGGCATTAATTTGGATGAAACGAAAATGACCAAAGCTTTGCAGGCAAATTATGGAGTTCCTGGACGAGAACAATTCACCGTTGCCATGGATTTGGCTCAGGCCAAATTTGGCTGTTGTGGAATGATAAGTGACAGTGATTATGAGATATCTTTGTGGAGGCTACAGCCGTATGGGCAACGTGATTGGGTGGTGCCACTTACCTGTTGCATTCTGGATAATCCGGGAGATAAGAAAAGTCATTTGGATCCCAAACCGGCTAATGAGACTCAGTGTCAATCGTTCGAAAAGAAAGACTACACACAATATCGTTTTACATTGCCCTGCCTTAGCTACTTAGATAACTGGTATCGTCAACAGTATGTCATCTTTTTGGCGGCAAGTCTCATTATAGCCGTGGTGGAATTTTGTGTTCTGCTCAGCATCACGCTGGCCTGTACGAGAATCTCAACGAAAAAGGTTCAAGTTCAAAGTTTTATGGAACTTCGACCACGTGTAAAAAGGCGACAATCTATTGTGGAGAATGTCTATGAACCCGAAGTTGAGTTGAGAATGGCCGAGGAGCCACGTGGTGCTATTATACATGGGGTGCCCAGTGATATTTCGGAAGACTTCAAAGAGGTCTATATTCAACCGCGTGATTTGTACAAGAATCGTTATAATACCACATTCAAACCGATTTCCAGTGATTATAGTGTTCCAACAACACGAAGTTATTTAGTTTAGTTATTATTGTAGCATCCAGATTATAGGAGTAATAAAAGTAAATCATAGTATTAAGTTTTGTAATTATTGAACTGATTTGCTCATTTGAAATTATAAATTATTGTGCATTTTTTTATAGACATAAATAAGTAGATATGTATGTAAGTAGTTTTGTATGTGGTTGATCTATCCGTATCAAATATTTTTGTATCAATGTTGAAAATAAAACGAAACCAAAGAATATTATTCGAAACTGGTGAGATGTTAAAGTGTTTTATTCCGTTCGAATTTTGTAGTATCCTAGGGACTATTTGACGTGAAATCTGAAGGATTTAAAATAATTTAGTTTCAAAAATTCCTATGGGACTTCGAATTGAATCTATTCCGTGAAAGTATTTTTAAGGGTGTAAGTACATAAGAAGCTTAAAGTCATGGCTAGGAATATTTTGTGGCATTTCATAAAGGGATTATAGAGCGGCACTAAAATCCTGCCGTCGTTTTCCATTATAATTTGACGTTAATATGCCTGCCATGACTTCAAGCTTTTTATGTACTTGCTCCTTAAAGTCTAGTTTATTCACAGTATTGGAGTAAAATGTAAGGTGACTTTTTCACACATATTCAGCATTTTTATAACACACGTAATTGAGCCAGAAGAAATTTTAATAATTTTAATAAAATTATAATTAAAAAAAAATTTAATAAAATAATTTGTCATGCGCCTTTAATTTTTATTTACACCTAATCACGGATAATCGACAGTTCAACCTCTCATTGTTTCGAAACTAATATGATGTTCCCTAAAAGAAATGAAAAAGGTATAACTTCATTGAAATTAATAAAATTCCTGGTAAAAATCGATTTACTTCAAACATTCTCAAAAAATTACGAATTAATTACGGCTATTAAACAAATGTTACTCATATTTAACAGCATTCTTCGAGTAGGGTATTATCCGTCTGCATGGAAAGAAAAGTAATAATTCCGAAACCTGGAAAAGATTAATCGAAGGTTAAATCTTTTACACCCATCAGTCTTCTATCTACAGGGTGAGATGAAAAAACTGGAACCAACTTCAGACTGCTGTCATTTCTAGGCCACTCGTCCGACAGCTGTTAGAAATATTTCAGTGAGAGCTCATTATATTGTTTACAAGCGTACAAAAGCATTTTGGTGAGAATTTTCCAGATTGTGTGTGATTTCTTTATATTTGGCTGGAAACCCCCAAGTGGCTATCGTTAGCATTTAAATGTGAATAAATCTTTTGTGCCCGTTACCGTGATACTGGTAGCGTAGCCCGATGTCAAGTAAGTGGGCGGAATAAAACAGCAACATCAGCAGAAATGGTTCGAAAAGTAAAGATCGAAACCCGCGTCGTAGTGGCCAAAAAATGGCTCGTGAGCTGAACATATCGCAATTTTCTATTCGGCAAATATTGAAAAATGAGCTCGGAGTGAAGCCATTGAAATTCCAAAAAGCGCAAGAACTTACACCGCAACAGAAAGAAAGTAGACTTAAAAGAGCTTCGCATAGCCGAAAGTGGTGAACTGCCGAATCTGGGTTTTTCCGATGAGAAAACATTCGATGTCCAGCAGTTTGTAAAGAAACAAAATGATCGTTTTTACTTGCCAAAGAGGTCAGCTGAAAATGTGCACCTTCGGTTGGCCACCAGAACTCAAGCGCCGGCCATGGTGATGGTGTGAGCCGCCGATGGTGGCCGATGGTCCATCCATCCATCGCACTCAGCACGCACCACACAAGAATGGTTACAAAATGAGGTTCCTCGCTTCATTTTCAGCACATAATGGCCACCAAAATCTCCGGACACCAATACGTTGGACTATTGTGTCTGGAGTATTTTCGAAAGCAAGGTTGGCACTAAAAATACCAAAGTGTCGATCACCTCAAGCAAGCGCTTCGCCGGGATTTGGCTAAAATACCGTAGAGCAACATACGGGCAACGTGTGACGGTTTCATTGGCCGTATCAAGGTCATAATTCGTGCCAAAGTTGACCAATTCGAACAAATCTAAACTTATTCTAAAATTTGTTGCTATTTCCGACATTTTTCGCTTTCATTCAATAAGATTAAAAAAATGTAAAAAAATGTTGGCGTTTGACTTTATTGCATTTTCTTTTATCTCACCCTGTAATACCAAAGGGTACCATTTTACAATTTATTTACCATTTTATAGCTTTTCGTAACCATAATGTTTGAATTCCCAAAAACCCTTCTTTCATGAGTTCCTCTTCTTCTGAGAATGGTTCTATAAATGCCTCCATATCGAAATCCAATTCCTTTTCTATGGATATCTCAGGTGGTGTGGGTAGACTTGCGGATATTTTCTTTTCCTCAGTAGTTGTTTTAAATTCAATAATGTCAGGCGTGGAATTCAAAGAGGGAGGTATCAATTTGACACTTGAATTATGTTTATCTTCGGGGACACCATCCTTGGTTTTATCCAAACCATTAGATGAATTGGCATTTGTCTTAGACTGGTCATTGGTTTTTGTTTGGGTAAACTGTATTTCAGCTTCCATGGCTGCTAGGAACATTTCATCCTCATCGTCCTCATCCATGACTAAACTATTGTCTTTACTCCCTTTTACAGTGGAAGATAAAATATCATTTTTCTCCTGTACTTTTTTGACTTTTGCTTGCATTGCAAATTCTGTTTCCGGTATTACCAATGAGCCCGTGGTCATATCAGTATCCCTAGAACTAGAACTTTCATCATACAGCCCATTAGGCATTTCTTTCTTTTCCTCCTCTTCCTTGTTCTTTTCCAAGAGCAGTGTTTTTAATTCCTTTTCGCACATTAAAAGAGAGTCCAAAAATTTGTTACTCGGCATGGACTTGTCCGGGGAATCTTTACATTTCTCGTATCCCTTTGATTTCTTTTGGTCTTTGATTACTTTTTCTTTATCGGTTTCTTCAAGTTTATTTAATAAATTCATTGCCTTGGTATTGGTAATGGCATTTAGATTTAAGGACTTTTTCGTGGCTCGCTGCAGGGGTGTGGATTCCCAAAAACCTTTCGTACATCTATCCTACACTCCATCGGTGGCTCTTATTTCAAATTTCAGACAAATTACAAATTTCCAAAAGTATTTGCCTATGCCCCATGTTTATCGATAACAGTCGATAGATTAATCGACTGGGATCCACCTCGAGCTTATTCATCAGCCAATTCATTGCACAGTATATTGCTATGTCCTAGAATCCAACACAAATTAATGAGTCAAGAGCTCTCGATTAAATGGAACTTAACTTGATAGCTTTAAGGGTGGCTAGACTATCGAGTTTTGCTAGCCCTGATATAAGACCGGAATTAAGGCACCATCGACCTACACATTAAGAGACAACCGCATCATCGGTGATTCCAAAACAGTGGTGGATATTTTCAAATTCCACACAATGCAAAAAGCGTTTAGATCAACTATGTTGTAATTAAGTCGATCGCAGAAATCTTTAATAATAGAGCCGGATTGATATGAGAGTAAATGATTATCTCAATGAGAACTGATGATCTCTCTAAAAAAATCCACTCCAATCCATTTCTCACCTATTGCAAAGGATATAAGGGATCTTTAATGCTAGGAAAAGTGTTTAATGACTTTCTTACCCTTTTTTGAAAATCCCAAAAAAAAAAAAATAAATAAAGTACTTTTTGCCATCTTCCGTTTTTTGAAAATTAAAAACAGACTAGGAAATTATTTCATTCTGTATATCATTTGTGGTGGCACGTATTGAAGCTAATGTTAAATTAGAGCTACAATTTTTAGGTAATACATTTTTGGATAAAGATACATATGTAGTTGTTGCATGAGGATTGAGAATAAAATGTCTTGGTTCTAAATAAAGTTTCGCCAAAAATGTTGTTTGTATAGCCATAGGTCCTCAAGGGTTATACTTTCAAAACTGCAAACGATTTGATCGATTTACCCTTTGAAAATCTCAAGCACATTTTTTGTTGCCGTTAAATCAACTAAGTTTTTTTCTTAATTCACCCAGCTTTATCCCGGTAGATTCCAATTACATCTTTCAATAATTTATCCGTTAATTTTCTGTTATTTTTTGATGAAAAGTATATAATGCTGGTAATGCATGATTTTCTTTGTACAATATTGTAAATGTAATCATTGAAATTTCACTAAAATATATTTGTATTTAACAATTCATAATCTCAAATAGCACACTTTTACAATAGTATTCACAAAAAAAGCGAATTTTAAATTTAATAATTAATTCTAAACCAAAAGATCCTATCCTATTACATCTATATGGCAGCTTAAAATAATAATCAGTCTTTATAAAACGAAATCATCATCTGAACTATCATCGATCAAATTGACCTTCTTTTTCTTCCCTTTTGATTTCGTCGCCGTTTGCCCACTAGCAGCAAGTTTGGCATTTTTCTTAGCTTTTCTACGTTCTTTAAGGATCTTCTCCGCTCTTTCCAAGGGACACATTGAAACTTCAGTTATATTGGCATTGTTGTTGATAAAACTATCATCCTCTTCGACAACAAATGAATCAGGCATGTATTGGGAACATATCTCTTCGGGTAAAAGAGCTTGGGAGTAGATGTGTGAATGATCGTCGTATACACGCGGTGCGGGGATTTTAAAACCTCCTCCTCGTCGTGGAGCAGGACTCCTGAAAAGTAGTTTCTTTTTAATATTTTCTCATACATAAATTACAAAGAGGAATATTTACTTGAGCGATTGCAAATACATGGCCTGCATGTGTGAGGTGGATGCCTGATCTGGATCATCTTCATCGCTGTGCACCACTACAGAATCCAACATATAACCCCCAATGGAATGTTCAGCTTCATCTTCGCTTTGATCGGAACCACTTAATGCGGCCTCATCTTCAATAAACGAATTATATTTTCGCCTTTTTCTACGATGATGTATGCTACTTTCATCAGCCTGGAATGTAGGTAAACACCTCTGTATAATCTTAAAAATAAGATAGAATCTAGTCTACAGACGCATTCAGAAGCTACCGTTTTGTCCAGGTTGCAATATTTTGCAATTCAATTTAAAATACATTATTAAACTAAATCGAAAGGCTTGCTAATGTACTCACCAGACAAAACTGTGAGAGAAGTTGATTTTTTTCATAAAAAATATATTTTTATTAAAAAATAGAATACAAAAAAACTTTGTAAAATTTTATAAACTAGTCAACACATACTGGTGATTGTTTTTTTTTTAAGTTTTAAAATTATCTCTGAAACTGTAACATTTATTACGAAAAACATATATATTGAAAATCTACACTACTTTAGGAAACATTTCTTGGAAGACTCACTGCTTGGGTAGCTGCAATTTGTTCGAAATCACTATCATCGTCATCTTCATCATGGTCATCGGCGGCGATTACGGTCACATCATTTTCACTGCTCTCACCTTCGGTATCACTATCAAATATTTTACGTTTGGGGGCACTCGGACGTTTTCTTACCACCAAAATGCTTTCATCTTGTGTGGCCGGTAGTAATGGCTTACTATGGCTATGTGATGCGGTATCATTTTCTGATCTTGATATACCCAACGACGATGAGGTATTTCTTAAGGCACTGGGCAATTTTACACGACCCTTACCATTTTTCAAATACATATCAAAAAGACTAGGAGATTTATCGTTTTGTATACTATTTGTATTGGCTCGTGTTGAGGGTGATGTTAGGTTGGCACTAGAATTTGTGGGTAATGTACTTTTGCTGGGAGACATCAATTTAGTTGAGGTGGCAGGATTGAGGGTCGAATGGCTGCGTGCTAAATTAAGTTTGGCCGACAATTTTGAGGCCAAGGATGTCTTTTGTATTGTGGGCTTGGCATGCAAAAGATTGGGAGATTTCATTTGGTCATCGGCAAATAAGTCAGGGGATTGGCGGGCCATAGAATCTTTGTTTAAATTTTCCTTGAGACTCTCACGCCGCGTGGGCGCTGATGACACTTTACTCGTTGATGATGATTTCATGAGTTCCTCTTCTTCTGGGAATGGTTCCATAAATGCCTCCATATCGAAATCCAATTCCTTTTCTATGGAGATCTCAGGTGGTGTGGGTAAATTTGCGGATATTTTGTTTTCCTCATTCGTTGTTTTAAATTCAATAATGTCAGGTGTGGAATTCAAAGAGGGAGGTGTCAATTTGACACTGGAATTATGTTTATCTTCGGGGGCATCTTTTCTTGTTTTATCCAAACCATTAGAAGAATTGGCATTAGTCTTAGACTGGTCATTGGTTTTTGTTTGGGTAAACTGTATTTCAGCTTCCATGGCTGCTAGGAACATTTCATCCTCATCGTCCTCATCCATGGCCAGACTAATATCTTTGCTTCCTTTTACAGTGGAAGATAAAATATCATTTTCTTCCGTCGCTTTTGTAACTTTTGTCTCCATTGGAAATTCCGTTTCCGGTATTGCCAATGAGCCGGTGGTCATATCAGTATCTCCGGAACTTTCATCATACATCCCATTAGGGATTTCTTTCTTTTCTTCCTCTTCCTTGTTCTTTTCCAAGAGCAGTGTATTTAATTCCCTTTCGCACATTAAAAGAGAATCCAAAAATTTGTTACTGGGCATGGATTTGTCAGGGGAATCTTTACATTTCTCGTCTCCCTTTGATTTCTTGTGGTCTTCCATTACTTTTTCTTTATCGGTTTCTTCAAGTTTATTTAATAAATTCATTGCCTTGGTATTGGTAGTGGAATTTAGATTTAAGGACTTTTTAGTGGGTCCCTGCAGGGGTGTGGATTTAAAAGCCATGTCTGGTTTATTAAACTCCAACCATTGGCTGCAATATTTGGACTCAGTGAATGAAGCTTCATTTTCCTCTTCCAAATTAAGGGTGCGCTCATCGGATTCATTGTCCACGAAGGTGTTGTAGACCATTGATTCTTGTACATTGGATGCAGACGCAGTCTTGGCCCTTTGCTCTTCTTCTTCTTTGTATTTTGCGGTTTGCTTGTATCTTTCGTAAAACCAATCGAATGTCTCACTCGGCTCTAAGAGTTCAAAATCAGCAAATATTTCATCAACTTTCTTTCTCATTTCATCTTCATCGATTGACTCATCGTCGGAGGGAATGTCATCGATTGTGGCCTCGGACTTCATTTTCTCCATTTCTGATTCTTCCAGAAACTTTTCAGCTTTCTCCAAGCCTCCAAAAAGTCTAACAATTATTCGATGAATCTCACGAATTGACTTTTCTTCCTCTGTCTCATTGTCGAAATCCTGAAGGGCATTCAAAACTTTCATTTGCTCCAGGTTATTGCGTAGATAATCCTTGTGTACAGTTAGCAGTTTGTATTTCATATCATCGGACATTTCCTTGGATTTTAAATGATAAGATAAGTCGTTGATTTGGGCTCGTTTTAAGACTTCCGGCGTTGTGTGAGTGGTGTTCATGAATATCTCTAATTTCTTAAGTCTTTCGTTTATGTAAATTTCATTGGCAGATATAGCATCATCATCGCCATTATCACAAATTCCAGTGTTTTGCATTTGATCTTTAGAACAACTCGGTGTGGAACTTGGGCTGTCATTCATTAATTTTTGGCGTTTTTTCGGTGTCACATCTTCAATTTTTTCCTCCGATGTGTCATCACACAAATCCACTGATTCAATTTCGATTGTAGGAACTTCAGCCTTGATTTTCAATTGCGATGGTTTTGGTGACTGTATATCATTGAAAAGATGTTTCATGCGATCAAAACTCTTTTCCAGCCTTTGCTGTGTATGTATGCCCGGTTTGGCTTGTGTCATTTTTGTGTCGATTTCAAAATATTCCAAATCTTCGGCATCCAATTCCTTGGTTGGCTTTTTGTTGAAAAATGTACGCAAATCTTGAGCACCTTTCTCATTTCCCATTGCTTTCTTCGCTTGTTTTGAACCACTGGGTTTTTTCTTGTCATCACCAGCGGCATCATTTTCTGCGTCTGGAGTTACAAATGTCTGCAAACATTTTGGCTTAATATCGGTGGGAACCAAACGTGGCGCCTGATTATACAAGGAGCGCCGCACTACCGAGGAACTTAGTATTTTCTTATTCATCTGATCCTTGCTATGGAGGACATCTTTCAAAATTTGTTGTTCTCTCCCCTCGGTAACTAGCATTACGACATTTCCATTTTTCTTTCTTCCAGTTCGGCCAATACGCTGTATAAACCTTGTAGGATTTGTGGTACTTATATCGAAGCAAACAATCAAATCCACTTCACCCACATCAATGCCTTCTTCGCCAATGGAGGTGGCAATAAGTATGTTGATTTGTCCCGAACGAAAGTCGTTCATTATCTGTATTTGTTGCTTTTGGGTAAGGGGTCTTAGATTGCCGGTACCACCTTGGCCTTGAGGGAGGAAGATAAAACATCAAATAAGTTTCCATTCGTTAGAATCTAAAATATGACTCATTCTTACCAACAAAACATTTTGGCTTCAATAGAGGGACATGCTGCAGAAGCATACGATAGATTAACAAAACCGACTCACGATATTCACAAAAGACTATGGCCCGAGACTCCGCATGGTTCTGTAAAAAAAACAATAACAAACATATAATTAAATTGGAAATAGATTATTTTCAAAATTTAGCTACTCACCTCGAAATGTTTGAGCAAACACTCCCTGGCCTTTTCGAATTTCGGATGACCAAAATCCAAATCTTTTGGGATTTCAGCAATCTTACCATTCGTCATGGGACCAGCCGACACATTAAACGGATTGGGGCCAACTTCCTCATTTAGGCGATCAATCATATTCCGCAAACGGCGATCCATTTGTATAACAAATTTCGTTTTCCCCTCCATGTCTTCTTCAAAGTTGTTAAGGAAAACTCTTACACCATGACGTTCGAGCAACTCCAGTGAATGATATAGGCTTATGCAAATGGAAAAATTACTCATTATGGCGGAATGTTGAGGATGACGTCCATTGTGTTGACAACGTTCCTGATAACGTTTTTGTTCGTAGAGTAAAAAATTGCGATTTATATTTGCCAGAGATCCCGAAAGCATTTGGCAATCTATGAGCTGTCTCAAATATGGATCAATTATCTCCAAGAGTTCTTCTCGTATTTCTTTAATACGTTCCCCCCAGGATACCACCACAGTTTCCATGGAACGTTTGTGGACATAAGGTACCACATCAACGGAGTTCTCACAACGTACCTCAATGTGAGATATCAAGAGATTACGAATCACCTCCGCCACATCATCCATGGTGCGTCCCGGAGTTGCGGACAAGGCAACTACACGAAAATATCTATTCTTTGCAGCAATTGCTTGAACAACTTCAACGTAGGCATATTTCCCCTTGGCCTTGTGCGCTTCATCCACAACAATCAGTTTGATATCATCGAATGGAAATTCGAAATTACAGGAACTTGTTGAATCTTCCAATATGCTTTCCACCCCCTCCTCATCACCCTGAACATAATTGCCCAAAATATCAGATTGTACAACTTGGGGTGTGGCAAAAAATACTCTCTTTGTTTTCCATAGCTCAGCACGCTTGGCTTTCGGTAATCTTCCAGTCAATTCCACAGTGTCTTTGCGGGGAAATGGCATAATTTTCTGGCAGGCTTCTATCTGTTGATTCACCAAGGGCCTTGTTGGAGCCATAAATATCACCTTACCGCGAGGATACCAACGATACAGATTGTACATGACCACAGCTGCAATAAAAGTCTTACCCAAACCAGTGGGCAGCACCACCAGAGTATTGCGATATAAAGCCGCCTGAACAATACTCATTTGATAGGATCGACATGGCAGATTACTGGGATAGATCCAGGTGTCTCCAACATTTCTATCAAATCCTCTGTGTTGCTCAACATCACACAGTTTTGAAGAATTATTTAAACCTTCCAGAGGTTTATCCAATATACCCATCAACGTGTGCAGTTCCTCATCATCGAAATTCGCGTCCCATGGATCATCATCGTTGGCATTGGTTTTCGAAGTCATTTTCAAAAGTATTTCAGCGCCATAACAATGTAAACAACTAACGTCGTAATATGTATGTATGTAAGAACAAACGGTAGACAAAGGAAAATTACCGATAACAAACAAAAAAAGCAAAAAAAAAAAACAAAACTAATTTGTTTACGAAAGAAAAACGTAGGAAATGCAATCAGCTGGGAGTGTAGGGTTTCAAAGGCACTGCAAAGTAGGGATCGCAAAATCAAATTAAGAAGTGACAACAATTAGCGCTTTAAAAATCGCCGAAAAGTACGATCTGCTGTAGTGTTGTAGAGAGCAAAATTTTTGTTTTTTAAGTAAAATGTAATTTTTTAAGATACATGATCGGATATTTATTACATAATAAAGGGGATGTTATGCTGTTAATAATAATAAACAATATTAGCCAAATGGCTACCATGAGTTCGTACTCCAGCACAATATCGTTCCCACATGGCAAAATGACGACAAGTTAGGCTAAAGATGAGGATACATAAGCAGCTTGGCGTCATGGCTTGGCATATTAATATCAAATTATGAGGGACAACGAGGGCAGAATTTGAGTGCGGCTCTGGCATTCCTTTATGTCTCAATATATGTCATGCGAAGACTTCAAGCTGCTTATGTAACCACACCCATGGTACAATAAGGAGGTAGAACAGCTTCGTAAAACTACAGAAATACAGCCCTGAGGCTATGCCCGCTTCCTGTCAGAATTATTCAAAATTATATCCAACAAGTTGTTTTCATTTATTTGATATTTTGTGGTTATTTTTCAAATGCATCAAATAGCGCGAAAATTTAATGAAATGCCTGGATTTTCTCTCAAAAATATGATCCTAAATGTTCAATCTTTCAATTCCGTTGCAAATTTGGTTAATGCACGACCCGCTATTTATGTTTCTTCCTATAATTGATTTTTAAAATATTTTGTTTTTACTTTTCAAAACAATAAAAACATACACAAAATTGACAGAAGTCGGGCACACTTAGAAAAAAAATTGTAATCAGCTGGTAGCTCTACCTTACCTTTTTATTGTACCATGACCACACCTTAACTTTAAAAAAATCCTGTTTGGCTTGTAGTCAGAATTACTATCAAAGTATATAAAAAAACCAAGCAACTTGTTGCATTGATTTTGAATAAATAATTGAAAACCATGAAAATTGATTTTCAAAATCATGTTCTATACATCTCTAAAGGTTTATTTTGCTACAAAAACTGTAGATATTGTAGATGCATACGTTGCAATAAGCATTTTGAAAACATCCGAATTTGAATATTTTCTGATCTTTTTTTTATTATTAAAAATCTGATCAGATTTGGATTGAGCTCCCATATACAGGGTGAGATAAAAAAACTGCAACATTTTTCTATTTAATTTTGTTGAGTGAAAGCAAAAAATGTCGGAAATAGCATCAAATTTAGAATAAGTTTAGATTTGTTCGAATTGGTCACGTTTGGCACGAATTATGGCCTTCGAATGGCCAATGAAACCGTCACACGCCGCCGAATGTTGCACTGCGGTATTTTGGCCCATTCCCGGTGAAGCGCTTGCTTGAGGTGGTCAACATTTTGGTATTTTTTAGTGCCGACCTTGCTTTCTCAAATACTCCAGACACGATAGTCCAACGGATTGGTATCCGGAGATTTTGGTGGTCATTGTGCGCTGGAAAAGAAGCGAGGAACCTCATTTTGTAGCCATTCTTGGGTGGCGCGTGCTGAATGCGATGGTGCTGAGTCCTGTTGGAATGTCCAAGGTCTGTGGCCGAACTGCTTGCGTGTCCAAGGCTTTAATACACCCTCCAGAATATTTAATATAATATTCGGCATTTATTCTGATGTCGATTAATAGGAGCGCAGAGCCACCATTGGCTGTTATGGCGGACCACACCATCACCATGGCCGGCGCTTGAATTCTGGTGGCCAACCGAAAGTGCACATTTTCAGCACATTTTGTTTGTTTACAAAATGCTGGACAACGAATGTTTCCTCATTGGAAAAAAACCAAATTCGGCAGTTCATCACTTTCGGCCAAGCGAAGCAACTCTTTAGCTCTTTTGAGTCTATTTTCTTTATGTTGCGGTGTAAGTTCCTGCACATTTTGGAATTTCAATGGTTTTATACCGAGCTAATTTTTCAATATTTATCGAATGAAATATTGTCTCAAATATTTATCTCACCCTGTAGTTGGTATGATCTACTTCAGATACTTAATACGCAAGTGGCGCAGTCCGACTTTTGACCTTTTGTTAATGTAAAAAAAAACTGCACCAAAATATTTCTGCTGTTAAGATTTGAGCCAAAGTTGTTGTTCGGTTACATTTTGCAATTTTAGAGAGGGAAAGTCGTTCATTTCTCAGTAACTTCTCACCATGTTAGAATTGGTATTTCTGCCATGCTTCTTACCGAGTAATTGTTTTTGGGAAAATAAACGAACGGACCGAATTTGACTAGCAATTTTTTCCATGGTAGAATAATACAAGTAGATGCATCATCGCTTGAGAACATTGCTATGTAAAAAAATTTTAAATGCTTTTTCAAATATAAGTATATTTTAATGTCGACGTCATTCGGAGGTTATTAAAATACGCTTTTTTCAACAATTTTTACAAATTTAAATAATTGTTCATTAAACAATTTCCATTTCCAAATTGGTTTGACAGTCCATTGTCCCAGCAGCTGTGTCGATGCGTCTAAATATATTCTTCTATCATGAATTTTTTTCCGTAAAATAGGAAATTCCTATTAAAGGCCATTTAAACAGGCCACCTTCTGACAAACAACGTTTTTCTTGCGTCTGTGAACAGCCTTTCTCACCCATACACATTTGGCTCTCCACCTAAAAAGACCCCAACAACACTCCACTTCACACCGACACCGTTTCGTTTGGGTCGTTCTTTGCTATGGAAACGAAATGTCAGTTCGTTGAAAAATGTTGTCTAAGCACAACAGCCATACGGACGTCGTCGGTTGGTTTCGTTTTGCGTTTGTTCCATCGACAACAACTATGCTTGTTCTTCTTCTACTTCGTGCACAAGTTCATCGAGTTTGTTATGATGGATGGATGCAATGACAATTTATGTTTGTTATTCGTGTGTTTTTTTGTATTCCAAAGCCAATCCAATGGAATGAAATCAAATGTTTGATGGAAATTGTTTATCAAAAGAAAAAGTAGGGTCGGTTACATGGGCTGCCATGAAAATTGAAACAAACAACAGCAAGTGAATGTGTTTTGTCAATTCTATTTCAATTTGTTTCTTCCTTGTAATTCTATCCCAGTCTTTGAATAATTAATAAATGTAAACAAAAACAACACGGTCTCTCTCTGGCGAAAAAAGAAGTGAAACGATTTGGCGCGCCATTTCTTTTTGAAGGCAAAAATGCATAAAAATTAAATTGTAAAATAGAAAGAAAAGCAAATGAAATGAATAAAGTTTAGTTAATTTATGCAAAAAATAGTTGCATTGCAAACGAGGTCATAGCTTAAGAAACTACTTTAAAGAAGAAAGTAGTGAGTCCCTGGCCACAGTTCACGTGGAAATCAAGTCTTGTCTTCCCATGCTAAGGCAAGAATTGCAAATGTAAGTTTCATACCTATATTTTTTTTTTGAATTTCTACGTTTAAGACCTGTTTTTATTTGTTTATAAGATAAATAAGTTAATTTTCTTTATAAAAACAACATTGAAAACAAATCATTATATGAGAAGGGGAAATTGCAAACATCAACATTTTCCAATTAGATTTTGTTTCGTATTCCACATTATTCCATTTTATCCTTTCAAAATGAGAATGTCATATTCTCTCCGACAAAAGGAGAATTGATCAGTTTTGTTTCTACAGTGGCCCCATTCATAAAAAATGTAACCTAATGTGGTGTTGACGTTTTTTTACTGTAATAATAATCATTATTTTTTAGAATATTTTGTTAATGAAGTTATATTCTTGATTGGAAGGTCCTATACATACCGGTAAATCGTAGACATACCGGTAAATCGTAATGACGAGTGGCAACGACGAGGCAAATTTAATTGACGAATGGGTGATTTTCAAATTCTGCACTTATGTACTATATTCAATGTATCTAAACAAAATCAATGATTGTAACAGATTCTACCTCCTGTGGCAGGATATTGTCTACATAGGTTTGCGTTTTCTGATAGTCTCCATATAAGGGTAACTCCCGATATTTGTACGATTCAAGCCACATTTTCTAGCGGAATTGTTTAAAACTTGGTACTGAGAATTTGAAATGGGTTTTTCCACCAGTGGCAGATCATACTCCATACAGGTTCCCACGTTCCATACAAACCCGATGAATTTGGTCACATCATTTTTATACCCTCAGCCATATGGCTAAAGAGGGTATCGTTTGATACGGTCAAAAAATGCCTAGTCGAAATAAGGGTTTTAGACCCTAAGTCTCTTTGTGTCAAATCCGTTTCAGAACATTTGGAGTCGATCTAGGAATGTCCGTTCTTCCGTCTGTCTGGCTGGCTGGTACATCGTAATATTTCTGTCAAACTTAGATCGAGATCGGAGAGGGGTCCACTTTTTCTGGTACCCCCTACAAAAGGACGAAATTTTCAAAAAATATATTTTTTGCACAGAAAGGGCAAGGCTAATCCGATTTTGCTCCAACTTTGTAATTATTAATATTTTCGTCATTGCTAGATCAGGTGCGAAAATGGACAATATCGGTCCACTCCACCAATTACCTCCCCCACAAAGGGTCAAAATATTGAATAATTTCAACTCTTATAAAATGTGATGTGTAAGAGTCCAATTGTCTTCAAATTTTACACATCCCAATATTTTTTTAGCCCAAGGTCTGGTGTTAACATGGAGTATATTGGTCCACTCCTTCTGGTGCCTCCCCCCCAAAAGGTCAACATTTTCAAAAAATATAATTTTTCTGCACAGAAAGGGCAAGGCTAATCCGATTTTGCTCCAACTTTACAAATCCTAATATTTGCATCATGGCTAGGTCAGGTGCGAAAATGGACAATATCGGCCCACTCCATCAAGGGGTCAACGTTTTGAATAATTCCAACTCTTATAAAATGTGATGCAAGAGTCCAATTGTCTTCAAATTTTACATATCCCAATAATTTTTTTAGCCCAAGGTCTGGTGTTAACATGGAGTATATCGGTCCACTTCTTCTGGTACATCCTCCACAAAAGGTCGCAATTTTCAAAAAATATATTTTTTGCACAGAAAGGGCAAGGCTAATCCGATTTTGCTCCAACGTTACAAATCCTAATATTTTCATCATGGCTAGGTCAGGTGCGAAATTGGACAATATCGGTCCACTCCATCAAGTACCTCCCCCACAAAGGGTCAACATTTTAAATAATTCCAACTCTTATAAAATATGATATCAGAGTCCAAATGTCTTCAAATTTTACACATCCCAATAATTTTTTTAGCCCAAGGTCTGGTGTTAACATGGAGTATATCGGTCCACTCCTTCTGGTACCTCCTCCACAAAAGGTCAACATTTTCAAAAAATATAATTTTTCTGCACAGTAAGGGAAGCAATAATCTAATTTTTGAATGTCCGTGAAGCGCATAAAACGCCTAATTAACTTCAGATTCCACTTAGACTTGGCTCATCTGAATATTTCTATCAACACAGGATCTGTTATTAAGACGGTAGAGATCGGACCATTGCTTCTGGTAGCTCCCTCACAAAGAGTCAACGTTTTGAATGACCAAAACGTTTATAAAATCCAAAATAAGCATTCGGTACTCTTTATATTCCACACATACAAACATTTTTGCTAACACAAGATCTGTGGAGAAGATGATATATATCTTCGAATCTCTTCTGGTACCTCACCTACAAAGGGTCACAATTTTCAATACTTTTATCTGCCATAACTTGCGAAACAAGTCAGCAATTTTTCTAAAAAGTATTACATATCTCATATAAAGTAAAGGATGTAACCAATACAGTCGAAACCTGGCACGTCGGAATATTTATATCATATTTGTTTAGGTCCGATATGAAATGGACAATATTGGTCCATTCCTTTAGAACCTACCGCATTGAGGGCCAACAATTTTAATAATAATAATAGAAGTAAAAATATATTTAAATAATCGAAAATTGGGTGAGGGTATATATCTGTCTGCTAAACCGACTGATACTTTTTAACTTGTTTTAAGGGAATCGTATAAAAGTCGGTATGCAGAGTTTGTAATGGATTTTGTCTGCTGTGGGATTATTTCTTATACCGTTCATAAAGCGCTACCTCCGAGTAGTTGGTATGTAACTAATTTTTTGTATGCTCCACATACATAGTATGGAGGTTATATTTATAATTTAGTTTAGCTCTATTTCTGGAACTATAAGTTGGTTTCTCTACGGCGATTTTAGTAATTAACCGGAAATATTGATATTTTCCTACTTCTAGTGCAATGTTACATTTTTGGTTCTCAGATCTTGCCCCATTAAAATTGTCATTCTCCATAATCTTGAGAACAAAATATTACGCCTTCTTAATTATGAATAATCAAAAAGTTCAGATTGTCACAAAAAATATATATATCGGCATTAGTTCATAAAGTAATGGAGCCACTGTGTGTTATTTCGCATATGTTTCCCATTATATTGTATTTGTTTTGATTACACGAATTCACTTTGTCACATTAATTTTGTTTATAAGTCTCTACTCTCTCTCTCTCACCCTGTTCCTTTATCATATTTATTCTTATCGTTTCATGTTGTTTCACCCAGTTGTTCCCCTTCTATGTATGCTTCGAAATGTATGTGTTCCATTTCATTCTGTTTCTATGTATATCTCCCGTTTTCTTGTTTTTGTTTCGTTAGTTTATGCAAGATCAGTACGGTTGTTTTGTTCTCACCCTCTCTCTCTATCGTTCGCTCACTCCTTCGATTTGGGTTCATTGGTGTCGTTACTGTTGTTGTTTAATTTTGCATTTTATTGTGGTTGCAATTTCTTACGTACAACAATAAATCACCACATGCACGCGTATGTGTGTTGAATTGTGGGGCTGTGCATTGCGATTTGCAAAAAATAAAAAACAAATGAACTAAAATTGAATGATAATTTGCATACATAATTAGAATTATAGACGGGGGAGAAAAAGGAGACACCTTTCTGATTTTTCGTTGTTTACTTTTTTCATTAAGTTCCCAGAAGTAATAGAATTCAGGTAGGTATTGTTATTTAGAAATTCAATGTCGAAAGTAAAAGTTTCTTCTTCCGTTTTGCAGTGACCTTTGTTTGGTCGTCAGTTAAGATGAAAGCAATTTTTTTCAAGTTGGGAGAGGCCGCTATATAATTTCCTTCACAATATTCATTGGATATTTGAGAAATTTGATTAATTGTGTCACAACCTTTGTAGAATTAAGAAGATAAAGTCATGCAATCATATGTTTAATTTTTTTCTAAATTTTTTTCGTTTGAAAACATCTCATTGTCAAAATGTATATTTAAATATTCTTTGCAAATACGCAAGTCAGAGATGGGATAGTTTTTATGCAGTAAAATTTGACAAGGTAAATTACAGAAAATGCAGAGATGTGTACGCTTATTTGAAATTAATTTACCTTCTAATTTCCATTTTCAAATGCTTTAATCTAGTTCTCCGTTCAATATTATAAGGTAAAGAATTAATCATGAATATTGGATGATGTGATCTTTTCAGATTCAAACAAACGGGAATGAATCGATTTTGAATTGAAAAATCAGTTAACATTGCACTTATTCCGCTGATTGATAAACGTTTCACAATACAAAACGAATAAGAATAGGAATAAGCCTACCTATTTTGAAATACCTTTTTTAACTTTTGAAAATAATTCCATTTTTAGATCTTGTTAAAATCTTTATGCATCAATAAAATGAAAGACTTCAACCCAAAATTATTTGCTACAATCGGATATAGAACTAATGTTGCAAAAAAATTTATTAATCTCCCCGACGGGGAATTGAACCCCGGTCTCCCGCGTGACAGGCGGGGATACTAACCACTATACTATCGAGGATATTGATTTAAGATTTAAACTGAAAACAATTATTTTTTTTACCATGGTGCAATTATATGTTATGGCACAATATTTATCCAGAGTGTGCATTAACCAGTTTTGCCCATGGTAGAATCAAAAACCTAAAGTCGTGCTCTCATATGTTCGTAATTTTTTCAAAATTATTCATTTGCCAAAATGTATATTTTTAAATCCGTTGTTTATACACAAATCCGAGATGGAAACCATCAGTGAAATTTGACAAGGTAAATTACAGAAAATGCAGAGATGGGTATTATTATTTGAAATGTCTTTATCTTCTACATTTTATCATGGTTTTGCCATAGAGTTAGAATATTGAACAGTTTGGATAATATTTTTGGAAGAAAATCCAGGCATTTCATTCATATTACGCGCTTTTCATACATTGAGAAATGAGGGAAAATATCAATTTCAAAGTATGTTTTAATAATATGTATTAGTACGTAAAAAGTTAATCTTTCGTCTCCCCGACGGGGAATTGAACCCCGGTCTCCCGCGTGACAGGCGGGGATACTAACCACTATACTATCGAGGATCTTGAGGG